GTGACAAAGGAAATTCCTGCCCCAAATTAACCAGCTCAGGCACCAGAAAGTACTGTGAGCTCTCTGAAAGGGCCTGATACTGTAAATAGGTGTAGCAGGCACCACTGTGATTAGCACATATCTCTCCCTGTCCTCAGCAATTACCCATTGATTCATTGATACTCATTACCACGGCTCCAAGAGAATTGGCTTGTTCTCATGTTCTTTCTAAAGATAACAAAAGGCAGAGCTTAACAGAATGATTTATTAAAAATGCCATAAGAAGGATAGTAATTTATTTCAGTAATAATTAAAAATGTTACGAACCAATCAGATGCAAAGATATATTTCAATTCCAGAATTCCATATTTACAGAATTTTCCGATCCCTCTTGAGTCATTGTTACTCTTTCCACCAGAGAGCCACACTGTGCAAAAGTGAGTAACACCACAAGTTCTCCTGCCTTTTTTTCCTTTAATGATTAATATAGTGGTGATTTTTCTATTTGGATCCACTCAAGCACTGGCTGAATAAGACATTAGCTCTAACTAATAGAGCTGTTAGTTAGCTAATATCAGTAAGTTAGTTAATATCAGTATTAATTTCACAGCTGATTTGAGCAACTATTTCGCCTGCCTACTTGTGGGTTTTAGGAAAATACTATTTGTATCATAAGCAGACAAATTGGTAATCAAAGCAGCCAGGAAATGCTCTTCAGTCCACTAAAAAGGGCACGCCTGCTCATTAGAAACAATTACAGATTGGCCATGCAGTTAAATGTGCCCGAAGTTCTGGAACATTTATAGCATACTGAATGTCATTGAATCAAGTGAGCAACTTGAAAGTAAAAATGCAAAATAAAGGAAAGATCAAAACTGGACATAAGAGAGGCATATTTTAAATATCAGCTGTTTTTTCATTAGGGAGAAAATGTTTCAGAAGGGAAAAAAAAGGGGTTTTAATCTGCTTTGCAACGTTCAGAAGAAGTATAGTGGATGACATACTGATCACCTCAACTTGCCTGGAGTTCTGCCACGGACATCCAAAGAGCCCAGATTTCACAGACACAGTAATCAGGTAGAAGAAGAAATCTCTTTGTAGAGCAAGGTGTCCTTCATTTCCTATCTCAGTGCCAATTACTGCTATAGTCTTTCTTCACAGGTCACAAACAAAAGCATGTAAGCACACGCTTAACTGCTTAACTTGCCTCTGTTCAACCAAAACCTTTTAATTAACTGAAAACACATGTCTAAGTCCTTTCCTTAATAAAGCTGCTTTCCTGAATCAGTGCATAACAGCGAATCCAACCTAGAGCTACATGAACAGCAACACTCACTTTTCATTTGTGTTGTTTTTCATTACAAGGAATAACCTTTTTTATGCAGGTAACCGGACAATGAGGGCTTCTGTTGTCTTTGGTGATGCCGAGTGCATTTAATTTGAAGAAACCTTGTAAGGACAGCTAGCAGAGAGATAGACACTCACTGCCTGTGAGAAACGCAGCCTAAAAAGAACGCTGACAGCCTTGAAGTGGAACAGACAGATGGAGACATGTTTGCCACAGTCCCACAAAGCCCTCATTAAAAGCCGACAGGTCTGATGACTGAACAGAAAGGGGAAGAGTTAGGGGTTAAAAGGAGGCAGTGTGCTCTGTAATATGTGACTGCATCGGTGGCTTCTAGGCAGGGTTTCACCCTTTCCATTTTCCAAGGCACAGAGTGATGAAGAGCCCTCCGTGGTGGAGATCTCTCCACTTGCAACCCAGCGCAGAAATTCAAAGGGGAAAAAGCAGGGACTTTATTTATTCAGCAAACATGCTGAGTAACAGCAAAACTCCCAGCCAAAGTCCTGCTCCTCACACAGGGCTCGGCTGGCTCAGGAGAGCCCAGCAGGACTCGGTATAAAACGTTTTGCTGCAGGACAGATGACAAGCAGCAGCTCTCTGTTCAGACTTGTCACCTGGCTCTGGGGGGGAAGAAGCTGTGTGTCAGACATCCACAGCTACTTCTCCCCTTGGAACACAGAGCTTTTATGGTAAGTAAACAGATTTTAGATGGATCCTTCCACATCTGTGGACCGGAAGCTGAGCTGAGAAAGAATTCTTTGAGTCATGAACAATGCCTGGAAGCCTAAAAAAAAACCAAAAAACCAAAACCAAACAAATAAAAGAATCCAGAGCCCTCCCTACACTGAAGACAAAGTATTCTCCCTAAAAGCATAAGCAGGAACATTGTGTCTCCGGTAAAACACCATTTATGGTTTCATTAGGTACCTGTATCAGTCACTTTCCCATTAATCTCAAAATTGATGACGCTGCCAGATGGACAGTCCTAAGTTTAGGAACTACCCCTGTTCCTTTTGGCTGCTGGTGTACGGTAATACAATAGAAAAGCCTGGAAACAGCAGCGTACAGCCCACTGGTTTACAAGAAAGAGTGTGGGGAAGAGGTAGCAGTGTGAATGCCTGTGTGGTCCAGCTGCCAGTCCACGTCTGGCACATCCAGCAACAGGACTGGGCTGCCACAGGGGATCATTCATCAAAGTTACTGTGTTTGAAGCCCATCAAGACAACAGTGGCTGGGTCAAAACTGTACTCAGCCCTATTCATCAGGGAGCAGTGGAAGGCCTCAGGAACCATTTTTCTTCTCTGCCTGGGAAGAAACCACACCCTCCCATTCTCCCGGGGTATATGGTCCATGTCTTGTGGCTTTTGGCCCCAAGTAGAATTAAGCATTCAGCATGGTATAGCAGGACAAAAAGCTATCCCTGGATATGGCTAAGGATCAACAAGATGCCATCCTGTAAAAGGAAGGCTGCAGTACATGGCCAGTGGTGTGGAGCAGATCAGGAGGCCTCATGGTGAAGAGATGGTAAAAGGATCACAAATTGATCTGGACATCGTTTGCATACCAAGAAAGGAGTCCAAAAAGCCCTAACTCCCCTCCTTAAATCAGGCAACGGTCTTGACAAGTTCATAATGAAGTTTTATTCATCAGGGTTCTACTGATAATGATATTCTGTTTATTTCTCTCAGGAGGGGACTGAGTACTTTTAATCAAGAAAACTATGATGACACCCCAGTGGCAAGGAACTAAAACCCAATTTCACTAATTCCTGGATCTGAGCCAATGAGAGACACCAAACTTGTTGTCCTCCCTTCCTTCCTAGCTAAATTCCATTGAATTAACAGCAATCCCTGTAAAATGATGACCCACTTCACCTGCAGGAATTAAAAGAGGTTTGATCTGTACCAGTTTCTTTGACCCATATATCCTAAATTTGGGCAATTCTTCCTTGTTAACTAATGGCCTTGTGTGGGAGCGAGGACGACACAACATGGGCATGTTCCATCTCCATGTAATTGCCCTTCACCTTCCCAGTAATTTACTTCTTAGCAAGTGACGTAAGGGCATACGGGAAGCCAGGCAGGTGAGGAGAATTTTATTGCAATCTAATTGCTGACTGCCTTTACAATGGTCATCAAAGAATTCTGTGGGGGCTGTGACCGCTACGTCCAGCGCGTAGCACACCTAGATTTTGACACAAGAAACAGATTTTTACTCTCATAGAAAACAGGGTTCAGGGTCACAGGTCAGCACAGCAGTGCCCAAGGCAGTTCTGCCATATGAGGAAGGTTACGCAAAGGTTAGGGAATGGCACACATGGATAACTGTGGTATCCAGGTGCGGGCTCATGGGGATGCTGCTGAGCACAGGGGAAGCCTGTCCTGAATCACTGCTCTCAGTTATTCTCATTGATAATGCTTTCCTTGTGGACACGTGAGCACCTTCTGTCATTTTACTACCAAAATGAAGTCAGGAACCTTTGCAGGGACCCTAAATCACAATCCCTTTGAAATCTCCAAGTATAGGAACAACATTTTGTATTCTGGCTAGGTCTTCCTCCTCAGGGCACCAGTTCTGTTCCTGCCTCTATGGGTCCACACACTCAGCCACACCTCCACAATTGCTGTCTCCTCTGCACGTTCCCCTCATGGAATAGTCTTTCACACTCTTTCTCTTGCCGCCGTGTTTGTTGGTTCCCTAGAAAACAGTGGGCAAAGTAAGAGGTCAGCTCTGCCTTTTTGTAACTTTGGTGGCTTTTTTCCCCTTTTTTAATGTTGTGGTTACGCTTCTGTGGTTTTTTTGGATGTCTCAAAACACTTGCTTTCCCTTTCCTAACTACGAGTGTAACAAACCAAACAGCGTCCGGGGACTGGCCTTTTAGCATTTACATACTTCTCCCTATATTATTATAGAACAATTATTATAAAACGTAATAATTAGTATTTAACATTATAGCAATTATTCTATATTTACTTTATTAATACGTTATTATATTACACTATACAGCCTTTCAAAACTTCAAGCAAAACTTCTTTTCTTCTTTTCCAATTTTTTTAGCCTCCCATCAGTTATGAGTGATCGCGTCCGCACTTATCTTCCTGCCCTCAGTGGCACGAGCAGGAAAAGAATTAAACAGAGAACCCCCATCCCGCAAAAAGTCTCCGGAAAAGCGCAAATCCCACCCGAAATCCCCGCTCAGGACGCGTGACGTCACAGCGCCCCTCACGCCAGGCTCCGCCCCCGCGGCCCGCAGAGGGAGCCCCGCCCCCGAGCGCGCGCCGGGCCGGGGCCGTGTGAAGCGCACCTTTTGCACGAGTCCCGCTCGCCGCGGGCGGGGCCTGCGGGGGCGGGGCAGGAGGGGAAAGCCGGCGGCGTGAGCCAATGGGGATCCGTCGTTCTCTGGAGCGTCACGCGTGGCACCGCCCTCTCCCCGTTTCAGGCGCGGGCGGGCGGAACGGGGAGGCCGCGGCTCGCTGGGCGTTACCGGGCAGGGGGCGGGGCCCCGCTGTCGCGAGGGCGCGCGGGCCAATGGCGAGCGGAGCCGGGCGCGGGGGCGGGAGGGCACGGCCGGGCGGGCGGGGCGCGCCGGCCAATGGGGCTCGGGCGGGGGCGTGGCCGAGGCGGCGCTCGGGTTCCGTGTGAAAAGAGTGAGGGGGCTCGGGTGCAAAGTTTGCTCGCCCGGCGCCTGCGGAGGGAGCGGCGGCGGCGGCGGCGCGGGGGGAGCGGAGCGGAGCGGCCGCCCGAGCGCTCGGGGCTCCGACCGCCCGCCGCGCTCCTCGCGCCCCCGCCGGGGCAGCCGCGATGTGCGGGGGGATGGCGGCGCACGGTCCGGGCGGGCCGCGGTGCTGGCAGAACCGGCGGGCGCGGCTGCTGTGCATGCTGGCGCTCACCTTCCTGTTCTTCGTGGTGGAGGTGGCGGTGAGCCGCGTCACGTCGTCGCTGGCCATGCTCTCCGACTCCTTCCACATGCTTTCCGACGTGATGGCCTTGGTCGTGGCGCTGGTGGCCGTGCGCTTCGCCCAGCGCACCCGCGCCACTAAGAAGAACACGTTCGGGTGGGTGCGGGCCGAGGTGATGGGCGCCCTCGTCAACGCCGTGTTCCTCACCGCCCTCTGCTTCACCATCCTGCTGGAGGCCATCGAGCGCTTCACGGAGCCCCACGAGATCCAGCAGCCGCTGGTGGTCATCGCCGTGGGGGTGGCGGGGCTCATCATCAACCTGCTGGGGCTCTGCCTCTTCAACCACCACGGCGTCGGGGGCCACGGGCACGCCCACGGCCACGGGCACTCGCACGGCGGCCGGCAGCAGCACCCCCGCGGCGGCCCCAAGCCCGAGCAGCCGCCCGGGGACGGGGAGGCTGCACTGAACCGCGACGAGACCAGCACCTTGGTGGAGAACTCCAGCAGCTCCAACGGAGTCAGCCAGGAGAAGCTGGGTAAGCCCCGCGGGGAAGCGCCGCTGCCCCATCCACGCGTGGAAAAGCGGGAAGGGTCCTTTCCCCGAGTAGGGCGGTGGCCGTCCTGGTCCCACCTGGTGCCTGGTCTGTCAGGACTCTGTGAGGACCATCTGTCCCCACTCCTGGGAAAGAGGCGAGAAACTTTCTTAGCAGCTCTTGGGGCACATGGCTGTCCCATCTCTTCCTCACGTCTTTCCTTCGGATGCTCTAAGCTGTATGTTTGTCTTGCGGACAGGTCAGAGTGTAAAAGAGTCTTAGGATAAAGCAGTTTGCCCTGGGAAAAAAAGTTGGTTCTGCAAGGGAAGGCACATGACAAGTGTTTCTTGCCTAGTGAGACGAGCTGTCACAAGACGCTCTCTTAATGCCATCCGAACTGGCTACACATCAAATGGAGCTCAGTGCCTCGCTCCCAGCAGCTGGATTGCTCCTTTGGGTCAGTTACCGGCTACCTGGGAAGCTACTCTCCATCTATACCAAACATACATAAGTGTATTCCACTGCAATAACGTTGTGCTTCTTCATAGCATCGGTATTAATAGGAAGAAGTATTGGAAATTGCCAGTCAGAACTGTGGAAACCGGAATGTGTAGCATGCTGGTGTCAGGGCACATGTGGTGTCTTGGAATAATTTTTGTTTAGCTTTCTAAAGCATGTGTATTCCCACTGACCTGCACACAGGCATACGTTTAAAATCTTCCCTTTCCAGCTGTGGTTAAACAGTATCATGGGTAGGAATTTCTAGGGTTATTTTTTAGTGGATCCAGAAGCCTGGATAGTTGATTTTGAAGCTGCTTGGTCGAAGCCAAGTATTGCGTGCTGGCGAGTGAAAGGTGTGTGTGATTGCCACTTCTCTGTTCCTAGGGCATCCTTGTCACCAGCAGGAATGGACTTCAGGCTTTGGAACCAATTTCTCTCCTTCAGTTTCAGGGTGACATCAGCAGACCATTGTTGTAGCTTAAAGGGAGCTTTAATTGATCGGAGTGAACTTTGCTACAGTTTCAGGTTTTCTGTGATCAGAGGTTCCAATACACATTTGAGAAAATTAGTTTCTGTTTCTCTGACTTCATGTTGGCTTTGGAAAGACAGGTTTTTCAAGAGGATAGGAAAGTTCTTCTGAATACACTACACCATCTTCTTGACCACATAATAAGCTCTTAATGTTTAGTTCCAGCGAAGGTATCCTAATAATTAGTTTCAAACAATGTAAAATTCTCGTAACCCTTAGTCTCAAACATATCTTGGCTTGGGAATTATACTTTAATGGTGAAAAGTTGTGCTTTTAGCCAAGTTTTGGACTAGTTAGAGAAAAAAGTTATAGCATGGATTAAAATGCATATTGTTGTGAGCTAACTTGTCTGTAATGTCTCATGGATGTGCTTCTGGCAATAACAAATAATTTGTTGTGGGTGTTTAGGTGGTAATAGGACATAATTTTGGTCACAGTGAAACTTTGAAATAAGTTTATATTTCCTTCATTACCCTGTCATGATTATGTAATGGATGGACCTACTCATAGTTTGCCTATGAAAAAGTTGCAGGCAGAGGTGATTGGAGGCTTGGGAGAAGATATAAAATGTAGAGATGACGGCAAAGGTCGTCCTGTGCCTTCACTGGAAGTCACAGAATGGGGTAGTCCTGATTTCCTAAGGTGGAAGTAAAAAGTAGGCATAGCCTTAGGGGCTAGACCTGCACAGGCATTTCTGTGGATGCACTTTATGCAAAATAATCAGTTTTTTGTTACAATGAACACATTTCAATTGGACATGTTTTAACCATTTGCCATTAAAAAAAAGTTAAGGAGTTTTCTGGAACTATGTGTCCCGTTACCCACTCGTATAGATAGCTGTACTGGCTTTTCAGATCTCCGTTATTCCAAGTACTTGTACAAAGTAGAGCGTTCCTCTTTCCTTGCTCTCATTGTGGACCTTGAGGTCTGAACTCTGTAACCTGAGATATTTCCCTCTAATGTATTTACTTCTCTGGAAAGTTACAGGTTCCATGTTCCATAACTCCTAGGGGTAGTGTGGAAAATGTAGCTGGAGCTTCAGGGCAGAAGCGTACTGGATGAGGTAATGAGCTGGGGCTTGGAACTCAGCCTTGGTAGGAGCCCACTCCCTCTTCAGAGAGGAGAGGACTTGAGGGCACTCTACAATTGCAGAATCGCAGCCACAAGGGCAGAACAGCAGAAGCTGCACGTCTTGTTAACGTGTTAATGTTTACAAAGCTCTGAACTCAGTAACCTCAGAAGCAGTAAGAGCTCCTTGTTTCAGTCTGTCGGGCCAAGGCCCAGTGCCTGTTGCTTTTCTTTACCACTGGAAATAGCCAAAGAAGAACTTCTGAAGAAAAGCAGGAGGTTAATCATGTACAGTTCTCTCCAATCTGAACATTGGAAAATTGTTTTCTTTCAGAAAGGATTCTTCTTTGTAATGATGTGTGTGTTTATTCCCATGTAGCTGGTTAGCTGTGTTGGAGTGATAAACATTGCACACAGTTGTAACAAAGGAGGGCACTAAAATGTTCATTTATGAACAGTCCATGACATATGACTTTGGACATCAGAAGCTGTGCGTCACTCAACAGCTATATGTCACTTGCATAAAAAATAGAATTTTACTATTTATTTATTTATTCTGAAATATAAATAACAGTAGTTTATATCCTCAGAGTTTCAATGATAATTTACACTGTCCTATAGTCAATTCTGCTGGTAAATTCTGTGTTTTAGATGTAAAATTTCAGCTGATTGTATCTCATGGTCCTGCTAGCTCCATGCACTATCTTGGAAGAACTTCCTTTTCCTTGAATTCAGAAACCTCTTGAAAAGGCATTGGTAAACGTGAAAAGAATCTACTACACAGCTGTATCATACAGCTTTTGAGCTTCTAGCTTCAAATTTTAATAGGAAATAGCAATGCAATCCTGTGGTTAAAGATGGATTTTAGCAATGTGATCAGTCTATCAGTGTTTCAAAAGAAGGAACAAGTGTACCTAACTAAGCTACTTAAACCAGCTTTTTTACATATCCTCTGTAGCTCTGCATTTTGTTTAGGAAACAAGCAGGGAATAGGCAAATGGTTATACGGCTGGAAAGGTGAAAGTAGTTTTTCAGTGCAGTAATTAAAATGTGGTCATCTTCATTCTTTGCCACTCTACATCTTTAATCTCCGTGTAGAAACAGTTGCCTTCTAGATTATTTAGATCAGTCATTGGGAAAACTGAATTTTCCTCAGCCAGAGAAGATGTTGCTAAGTGTGTGGGTTGAGTTGCTTTTCAGTTTCATACTCAGTGTGCCCTGCTTCCAGTTGGATATGATTTTAAAAGGAATTACAGTACCATGTTGTATTATATCTCATGCCTAATTGTTTTATTGTTTTCTTGTCAGGTGATATGAAAGATGACATGAGTGACGTGCAAGTGAATGGGAATGCTGGCCATTATCCTCTGGATGAAGAGGAAGTTGAAGAAGACTCTAGTGCACAACTTAACATGCGTGGAGTTTTTCTGCATGTTTTTGGAGATGCCTTAGGTTCAGTAATTGTGGTAGTGAATGCCTTGCTCTTTTATGGCTTGTGGAATCCATGCCCTGAAGATGGGCCTTGCTTTAATCCATGTGTCAATAATCATTGCATGGAAAATGCTACTTTATCCCGAGTACTTGGCAGAGCTAACAAGTCAGAGCAAGAGAGCATTACGGTGGCTGGTCCTTGCTGGTTGCTATATTTAGATCCTGTCCTCTGTCTGATTATGGTCTGTATACTCCTTTACACAACCTACCCGTTACTTAGGGAGTCAGCCCTCATCCTGCTACAAACTGTTCCCAAACAAATAGACGTCCATTCTTTGAACTCAAAGTTACGTACCCTCGAAGGAGTCGAAGCAATCCATGAATTACACATTTGGCAGCTAGCAGGGAGTAGGATCATTGGCACTGCTCACATCAAGTGCCCTGACCCGTCCACGTACATGATGGTGGCCAAGCGCATCAAAGAGATCTTTCATGACGAAGGGATTCATGCAACTACCATTCAGCCTGAGTTTGCCAGCGTTGGCTCTGAGTCGGGGAGAGGGAAATGCGAGTTTCCTTGCAGGACTCAGTGTGCTTTGAAGCAGTGTTGCGGAGCAGGAGAAGATAGTACTGCAAAGAAGACAGAAAAATCCTCGTCGCTTAGTATTTCTTGTTCAGAAGTTGTCATTGAATTTCCGAAAACGAGGAGGACTAAGTCGGAGAGCATCCCTTCAGTGAAGCTGGAGGCTTCGAACACCGATCAAAATGAGCAGTTTGAGTCATCTTTGTAACTCCCTGAAGGGTGCTACCTGAGTTGTGGAGACTTTGTCAACAGCTGTGTTGCAAGAGGAAGAGACAGACGTTTGAGATGCAATTTTGCCAAATAGTGTAATTGCTGAAGTCCTTGTTCTTGTCATATTGCTAAATATAGAATGCTTGTTTTAAAGAATATAATGTCACTGTCATGATACAATGCGTTTGTGTTGACTTTGTTTGACTGAGACAGACAGAAAGTGCATCCATGCTGTAACACTTCAGAAAACCAGATTCAACATTTCAGCAGAGACACTTTTTGCTGTGCTTCAAATTAAGATACTTTTTTCCAATGAAAAGGTATTTGAGGGATAAGCATGTAGGAACTCAGTTTGTGTTACAGATGTCTTGGACCTACTTTTTCCTTTAATATTTGATTTGTAGATATCTTAATATATTGTTTATTTAGAAGCCCTAAGAAAACCAAAGTTCATAGAACATTTTTAAAGATATAACTACTAAAAACTGGAAACCACTTTGCAGTTTCACATATTTTTCTTAAAGCTATGGAATAATAAAAATTGTGAAGGCTTTTCTAGTGAATTTATTGCACAGCATATTTTAAAGACAACATCATGTGATTGTCAGAAATTGTCCCCTCTTCTTCTGGTAAGGTAGCTAGGTAATTGAAAACAACAGATGTGAAAGGGTTTTTTTTTTTCTGTCAGAATGGCAGTTCAAGCTACTGTATACTGCTCTGTGATCCAGACATGAGACTGGTTGATAAAGTAACACAGACTTCTATGTTTTATGGATTTTCTGCTGTTTTCCCTTACTTCTAAGTTGTGTCTGGTCATGAAAGTATTTGAGATTTGAAGAACCCTTGACTCAACAGTGCTATGAATAAATATTTAGCTGATGCTGAGTTTACTAAGATAAAATAATTAGTTCTGCCAATAAGTGCTCTCTTGGCAAAGGTCTGCCAAGCACTGACAGTCTAACTCCTGCTTTCAAGCACAGACAGCAGCTCCCCAAAAATAATGGTGCATTTTGCTTCTAGCTGAGTGTCTGTAAAACACTTGCAGTGACTTCAGTCCTGGTCTCCCACCATGTCCTCAGGAGCCCTCCACTGACTTTTGAGGAAGTGGTGCAAGTATCACTGTATTTCACACTTCAAGATGCTTATGTATCACATAATTTCACTTAGTATCTGAATCTATGGTTTGAAATCTTGACTCAGTTAATTGACAACTGGCTCTAAAGAAGCTGTTACAGTGTGCTGCCAACTTCCACCTTAGGAAAGGAGAGACTGCTCTGTGGACTCTGAATTTGGCAGAGATGAGATGAGAGTTGAAAGATAAAACATACAAGAAATCTAATCTAAAACCCTGGCCCTTTTGATCCACTCTCATGTTATGTATGGGAACTAATGTCTTGTGATTGCTCCTGTGTGAAAAACTGGAAAACAACTCAGATCTTCCATTCTTTGCTCTATGACTCTGGGCAAGATAAACACTTTGCCTCAGATTCCCTGTCTTCAAATGGGGATAATACCTACCTCACAGGGGTGTTGTGAGGCTTAACTATTGTGTGAAGAGCTCTGAGATCTGTTACTGGAAGGCACTGGAAAGAGGATAAGATACTAGATTACCTGGCATTTACTACTTCTACAAATGTATTGCAATACCTAGGCACAACCAGAGGGAACTGAGGATAGTTTTGGCCTTATGAAATTCTTTGATGCTGTGGTTTTCAGGTTTTCAACAGTATTTAAATATAGATTTTTTTTAAAAGAATGTTTTGTTAGTGAAGGGAATGTAGCTTTGCCTCCAGATACAGAACACCTCCCTAGTTAGCATTTTTAATTTATGTCTTGCATCAGAATTGCTCCTAAATAGTACAAAAAATAGTCCTGCTGCTCATCGGACCAGGATTGGCCGAGTCGTGTCAGTGGTCTTACCCAAGCTCTCAGCAGAGCATTGCAGTCAACTCTCGATTATCCATGGGTGGATTACCAGTGCTGTGCATTACCTGTGCAGTCTGCAGAGCCAACACCAGCCCTCCGTCTCATGCCACGCTCTGGCCAAGCGCTGTGTGCCAAAGCACGGGACAGCTGGAGGTGCTGGCTCTGCTTCCAGGGAACCCCTTCACAGGCTGCATTGCTGGGTTGCAGCACAGCACTGCCTGGGGTTTTACTTCTTGGCTGCTCAGATGCATCTGCAGGAAGCTGTGGGCTGTGGATGGGTGGGCTCGGCTTTGTGCTGGCTTGGGATGTTGGTGCTTCGCAGCCACCAGCATTGCTCACCTTTTTCCGTGTTTATGCTTGTTGTATAGTCTCATAAACTAACTTAAATGTGTTAATATAGTATTTATATATGTTTTTGTTTTTTCTGAATGTTTTTGTTTTTTCTGAAGTATCTTAGCTCTTTTTTCTGTTACCTGTATATGATCTAGAGTTGACTGTTAAATGAGATCTTGTATGAGACTACATTTGCTGAGTATGCTACCACTGCTACTATACTACAGAGTATTAACCAAGTAAATTTTGAAATGAACAAAGTACTATTTTTTAAAATGTGTATCTTTGCTTTCTATGGTAAACTTTCACTAATTTTTTTCATCGCTAGTTTAAAATTTGTGTCAATCGTTAGTATGAATTTCTGAAGTTCTGCCGTATATCAGTAGCACACCATAGAACTACCATTCTTTATTTTAAAAAATACCAACAAATTTGACCATGGTAGCACTGAGAAGTCTGATTAACTTCTTTCCTGTTGCTCTTATAAAAAGAGGGCAACTGGTAAGGCATAAAAGTTACCGTCATTAGTTAATAGTCTCAGTAAATGCATCTGAATAGAGGGAGTTGTAGTCACTAATTCCATTTTAAACTACTTAATCTCTTTTTTTTGTGCCAGAAGTCATATTTTTCTATTTCTGTGTCCATTGCAGGCAATGGCTAACTAAAAAGACAAAAAGCTCTCCCCCTCGTTATTTTAAGTATCAGGACAGGATGCAGAGGTGACAGTGATGATGGTGATGATGATGGGGCAGGAGAGGGAGTTGCGTGGCCTCTGTCATGTGCCCTGTTGCACGTGCAGCACCAGCTGGTGTTACCAGGGCCCTTTAGTCTCCTTAGCCCTTGATGATAAACTCCCTGAAAGCATAGAGTGAGGTCAACGTGGTGGCTGTGCAGTTGCAGGAACACAATTTCTCCGTTCTGGCTGTAGGAGACCTGACTGTAGCCCACTAGCTTGTGAAATAGCTCGGTTTTTTTTAAACTTGATCTGTCTGGGGTTATACAGACTTGATTTGTTCTGAGGATCGCAGTTTAAGAATACTGACAGTATTCAAAAGCACTGCACAGTCTCTTTATTTTATTTTTTTTTCCACAAAGCATGAAACTAGTGAATCTCATGTAAGTGAACACTGCAGTGGTGGGGAGCTAATTGTATTGTGTATCACATTCCTGAATTTTTAAAATAAAAACAATTATGGAACACTGATTTTAAGGAAACATAAGTTTATATTTCAGTGTCTGGATTGCTTAGGCTTCTGATTAAATGTGTCAGAGATGCACCAAACATCACTGGATGAAATATTTTACTACGTCTCATCCAGGAACATGCTATTTTAGAATCACTTCCTAGATTATATCTGCACCTAAGGTGAGGTGCAGAACTAATTCAGACACTCAGCGGGCCAGCCACAGTACCATCAGTCTTCCTTTTTAGCAGAGTAAATTGTTTCTGTGGAACTCCTAATAATTGTAACTCATTTGCTTTCAACACCCAGCGTGGGCTTTGTTAATATCTGCAGTTGCCACATCGCAGTGTGCGGTATGGACATACACAGAGTTATGTAAGAGAACCAGCCCCAGCTTGTGACTCCCCAAAAGTCATGGCAAGGGCTCAGTCCTGAAAATTTCTGTATTCTTAAATACTTTCATCAGGCTGACGAGTACTTACTTGCACACCAGGTATTACTTGTGGGAGTGAGTCCAAAGCTTCTGCCAGTATAGTCTAGTTTTAAAGAAAAAAGTACGTAGATTTTGTGGATGTTTAAAATCAGGACTGCTGTGGTGTTTCTGAATTTGCTGGAGAAATACTGTCAGTTTGGTGTAATTCCAGAATTTATTCCTTTTCCCTATTCTCTAAAAAGAAAGAGAAAAAAGCCCACTGAGTGTCCTAAGACTTGTTAGCAAGTTTAGCTAAACTGACATTGTTAGCTTCTGAAATCGGGCCATCTGAATTTATTAAACACTGCCTGGTGGAGTTTGGGGAGGAGGGATAAAGATTCTTGCCATTCTCCTTCCCCTGCCCCCTGCTTTGACTGCACTTTCTAATCTCTTCAGCTATGGAGAGACCGGGAGGGATGGAGGGGGTGAATTTTGTAACTAGATGTTCCAAGTTCCACGTGGAGGGAATGGGAAATACTGCTAACTATATTTAAAAGCATATAAATATGCTCTGACTATTTTAGCTCCATAGCATAGCATCAGTTACACCCTTTTTAGGTATGCATTTAAGTGGTTCAGGTCCACAGTATCTTTGGCTTTTCCTTTCTCTGCTAGGCAGAAAGAGGTGGATGCTCCATTTGCCTGAGCTAAAGCCAGAGTTGACAATTTTCCAAATCAAACGTAGCTTTGCTGATAACAGAAGGTCTGATTATTCCTTTTGACCTTTGCTTTGTGTGGTTAGCTGCCTGTCAGGTACAGCACCATGTTTTAGCAGGCTCACATTTATATTTTTTGCACTCACTGTGTTGTCTAACTAGTTGAAAAGCAAAACCACAAAGCTGAAAAATATCTTTCATCTGTATGTCTCCATAAAGCACATGGGATTAATTTGGCTTCTATTTTTTTTTCATGTCCTGGATCCTGCTTCTGAAAAATGTTAAAATATAATTGGCATAGCTTGTTCACTGATGATATTTCTTTTTGCCTTCTTTTAAAATAAAGAACAATTTATTTTTCTTTCTTTTTTTATTGTTTGTTTGTTTTGTTTTTGTTTGTTTGGGGTTTTTTTTGTTGTTGTTTTTAAGTATTAAAGTGCTGAGAAAATAAATGGAGCTCTTGACTATCAAATACATTTAGTTGGGATTTCTTTCTCAGATCAGCTCCCAGGAAGGAATCTAACTAGTAGAATTACACATTCACTATCTCCCAGAACATCAAAAAGAGATGAAAAGAGCACAAATAGAGGAGGTGGAGGTTAGTAAATGGGTTTTAAAGTCCTGGCTTCCAACTGTCTGGGTTCCAGGTGCAATTAAAAGAATAGTTGCTCAGTTCTAGTATTGTGAAGAGTTAATTATGCAAAAGGTATTTTTTTATCTCAAATGAAAACAGCTTTTGAAAATAATAAAAAAAAATCATCTTGACCTGTTAATTTGCCATGGTTAAATATCTGACATCAGGGTCAATAAGACAGGCTTCCTAATAGGACTCTATACTGCTCTTCCAATGTCTTTGGAAGAAATCTGCTTTAGAGCAGAAGATGCTTTGGTGCTTTTCAGTTTAATTTGTTTCAATTCAGAAAAACTACAGTTTGCACAGTTTTTTGGGAGAAAAGGACTGACTGTAGATGCCAGCACTAGTACTGAGGAGGGCAGGATGGTGACCCATGCCTGCTTTGAGCTGTTAATAAGCTTGTAGTGGTGAGTTCATTTTGGAGTGCTTCAGCAGCTCCTTTTTCTGCTTCAAGAGGGAAAAGTGATTCCACATTGTTAGTTATGTGTGCAGGAGGGTATGTGCTGTAAATACTGCATGTGAGCTTGAGTTTTGCCATTTTCCAGAGCTGCTTCTACCTCTCCATGGAATTATGTGATTTGAACTTACTATGAACATCCTTTGAGACATGCTGGTGTGGGAATTTTAAATTAGCAGGAAGGGAAGCCTCTGTAGTTTACTTTTGCCACACATACCTTCCTCCATGTCATTCCTAGACCTCCTACCACAGATAGTTGCCTGACCACAAGGATCACCAGATCCAGCTCCCAGAACAACTCCTTGCTGCTTTTCCATTGGAAGAACTAGTGCCACAGGAGAAGGGTGGGATGGGAGCACCTGACTCCAGGCAGACAAGCACTTTCAGCATGCATCTTCTCAGGCTGATCTGTGCTAGCATCCCGGTCCTGGCATGAAAGTCTTGCCACTGACACTTTGGCTAGCATTTATATATATTTGTGGTTTGGTTTGGGTTTTTTTTGGGTTTTTTTTTTTTGTTTTTTTTTTGTTTTTTTTTTTTGTTTTTGTTTTTGGGGTTTTTTTGACTATCAACACAAACCTTAAAGTATTGCTGAGACCAAATGGCAATCCCCACCCCCCATCACCCAAGCTCTGTTTCTAGTTACAGCATTGGTTGGCTTCCCAGCATTTTCCTCCTGCACCAGCTCCTGCAGCTAAGAATAGCCCTGGTGATGCTGTGGAACAGGATGTGCAACCTGCTGGGCTTCCTGCATTTGTGCTCATGTTGCTGGCCTGGGCTGAAGCCTGTCCTCATCTTCCCCTGGACTCACTGGGTGAATTTGTTAGATTTCATTTATTGGATTAGGTTTGCTGTGGGTTGGCCCACATGTGTTCCAGTTGCCCATATTCTGTGCTATAGGCAACTGCATTCTGCAGTATAGGCAAGACCTCAGCCGAGGGAGATATTCACTTGCTGCCAGTGTTCTGTGCTTCAGAGCGTGTCTGCTGAGTGTAAGTGGATGCTGCTGGCCTGCTGCAGACCTGGATTCAAGCTTCACTGCTTGGTTTGATGTTACCGTGTGATCCCTGCAGCTGAGGGTGCAGAGTACAGCACAGGGAGTCTGCAGGTAACTGGGTCACTGCTGCTTACCTGAGCTAGGTGCTCATACCCTAGT